GAAAAGTAGCTTCACTCACCCATTTACTCCCATCATGAGGGCCAATGATTATCATTACAAGTATCAATATTCTCACAACTAACATCCATACCGGTTCATAAATTACAAGAAAAAAAAAATTACATTATGCTGTGAAATTATAGTTACTATGCTCGTAAATGGAATCCAAAATTTTGCCACAGTTTCTTAGAATCTTATTGTGTTACGAATGCATAAATTTTAAAGCTCAAACTCACCATTCTTTTACCTAGCGTTGAAGTCTTTAGAAAATTATAAATTCAGCATCAGTGCTTCTTATTTTTGCAAGTTGTAGAGTCGGCCTCTATCGATTTGTTTCCGAAGTGCTGCCTTTGCTTCCTCCAGTGTTTCAACAGAGTGGCCTTCTTCAAACGATATCCTCTGGATGTTAAACTGCACACCATGAACGGAAGTTAAAACTACATCCTAAATACAGTGTAAGAAAGGAAAAAGAATTGACACAATTGAGATAACCTGAGCGCCTTGACGGACACGAATGTCAATCCCCTTGCCATCGACTGATATGAGAGCAACATCATCTATCTCGGCTTCTTTGGACAAAAGCTCTTTTAAGGGCTTTGAAAAGATTGCATTTAGTTCCTAGGAAACAGAGCCGTTAAATTCAACACAAATCAACGCGCAGTGAATTTTATAACCAAGCTCGACCACAGCTATGGCAAAAATAAAATTTTCACTAGCTGTGAGCATCTAGTTAAGATAGATAGCGTCACAAGGTTGTAAACAAGAATTGAAAGACAATAATGTGCCAAAAAGGTGATTGAGATGGCATAACACAGACCTTCAAATTTTGTTCGCCGCCGTCAACAGCAATCTTATCAGGTTGAAGGGCCTCGTATTCTTTAATATCAATCCAAGCAACAGTTCCAAAGCCACCAATGAAATATATGTCACTGCCAGTAAGATATGAATCCTGTTAAGCTCTTCAAGAAGCTTATCCTGATGAATCTCTCATCGAATTGCAAATAATTTAAGGTTGTTCACTGCCCTCTAACATTTTTTCTGGACACAATAGCACTACCAACAGATAGCTGCATGATGTATGCCGATGGCAGAAGTTTTACCTACATCTCTTTAATGTCTAGTGATAACCAAATATAATTAAAAACCTGACTAAATACGCGATATTTTGGTTCGTTCACAACCATTTAACATGTGAAGAGTGAGTCTCTTAAGAGACAAATGACAAGAGTCGACGTATATATGAAAAAAGTAGCTAAGAATCACAAAAACTAGATGAAGAAAACTGATTAAAGAAAAGACGAGGGAAAAGCAGAATTTCTGCAGCTGTTGGTTTCAGTTGGGACAAGAATAGCATTTTCACTTTATGGATGAATTTTTAAAACTACATCAGTTCAAGGTATCAAAACATCATTTCAGAATTCCAAAGATATTTCTATGCCATTATATGCCACATGCTAGAAAGAAAATGCTGGAGATTTCAGAATGTTTGGAGGTAAGCTGTATATGGGCTATTACAGGAGTACCAATTCCGTGGATACATGGCTGGATAATGTTCAAACCAATACTAATTATGTAAAAATATCACTGCTGAACCTTGGAGCACTTCTGATTCCAAAAAAATTCAATGTTCATCTTATCTCGAAGCTCCGAACAAGATTATATCATAATATAATGACATACGTATACCTTAAAATTTAAGGTGTTGAAGAAATCAAAAGCATCAAACTAAATTAGATCTCAAATCGACCTTCAGAACAGGTAAGATTAGGGTACAGGATGAAGGAAAAAAGAAATCATCAGATAGAAGCATCCAAGTCTTACAACTGACCACATATGAGGTAACATACGTCCAAATCCTGAAAGTGACCAATCTATGGTGAAAAGGATGAGGGCATCATAAAATTTTGAGAATAATATGGAGAGTTTCACTATAGATATTTTTGGAGTAATTCAAAAAGTTAATTGAGCAATGTAAAAAACTGCAAACATGATGCTGTGAACTATTATGAAGTCAAAAATAGTATACAAAAATGTTAACCTTATGTTCTGCATCCTAAAGTAGTAGAAGTTTCCCCACTTCTGAGAAGGCCCTTGTTGATGCTTCGCCATATATTGCTTATGAGCCCATACCTGGCAATGCAATGAGATATAACTATCATTGTTAGAAGTGCTTCATTTTATTATCTGTTATTGCAAGTGATTTAGAGTATGTTTGGTAAAAAAATTTGTAGATTATAACTTAGAAGTTGTAGATCTTACAGAATGGGTGGATAATAAGAGAATAATAGTTGTTGGTCTTACAAAATGTGTGGATAAAAAGTATATTTGAGCAGCTTAAATTATAATTTAAGCTTTGTCCGACATGCACTTAGTCACAGCATTTTAACTTCAGTAGATCCATATCAACAGTACAAACGAGAATTATAAATCCAGTATTAACTGCCAAAATTCATATATGCAAATTTCCGGCACGTGGAAGCCAATAAATAGCAATTATTTAAGAAATCCCACGTTCAATGAAGTGGAATTTCTTATCCAAGGATTTTTCATCACAACTTCCACAGATGTGGACAGCAAAATGCTTTTCATTTCCAAATGTATGAATGCAAGTAGGACAACGGTTAATGATTTTTTTTTTTTAAATACTTGTTAATTCCATGTATCAGTTGAAGAAGGAAATATAACCTGCTTGTCATCAGGAAGAGGATATACATCACCAAAGATTGTTACCCTTGCATTAGATAAGCCACTCCATCCGGGAATCTAAACAAATTTGCGGATCAATGTAACTCATAGGTGAATAAAGGGAAAATAAAACATTAAAAAAAATGTATAGAGTAAAATACTAACCTGCACAACTAGTGTGCATCTTGGATCAACTAACAAATTTCTCGTATGTATAGCCAGCGGTGAAAATGAAAATATAGGATCTGCAGAACAATTAAGAAATTAATCCCTCCATATTGGATTGATAGCTCATTTTAATGTGGCATGCATATGCAAGTAGAAGTAGCCAAGTAATGTTATTTGCAAGGTTTCAGATTTTTAACCCGAACTTGAGACACAGAAATGAGAGTTTTTACTTAGAATGCGGATGAAATACAAAGGTGGATTAGTACTTTTAGCAAATTGCAACTAAGTGTTCTTAATTTGGATGTCACCAAAAAGAAAATGAAGCATTCAAATTGGGACGATGCTAGTATTTTGGAGAGCTAGACTAAGATGGAAATATAAATGACACGTGGTCAGAGACATGAAGGTGACTTTTTGCAGGGTGCATGTGTTATGTCAAAGCATTTAGATTAAAAGCCGCATCATGAACATCTTCATTTTTATAATTCTGCACTTGATATCTAAAGCAGATTAGAAAACAGTCCTATGTTGGTCTGCTGGTTGTTGGGGATTGAAACAAGACTTGAAAAGACCGCATTCAATATGCTTTCCTAATTTTAATTAAAATCCAAATTTCATTGCAAAACAAAGAGTAAAGAAAGTTAATAGCTTGTTCATGTAATTGAACTGATTAATCCATAAAAAACATAAGAGAAGGGCATTCCTTTCTTCCGGTTTACATAACATATTACATATCCACATGTCACCGAGAAAAGAGCTGGAATATGTATACTTCTCTAGTCATACAAAACGATGACTTGTGGTCAAGGCCAATCACATAGCTACTGAAATGTTCAATTTCCCCAAGCGGAAACCCCCAAAGAACAGTAATTAATTGATTGGCATTGTTACGAAAGATAACTTACGCCCCATGGGATCTGGCGCGAAATCTACAAGTGAACCAAATGGATAACCTTCCCGACGATGGTGCATCCGGGACATCACAGTACACAAGTGAGCAAACCTAGCCTTCAATTATTGGAATGCCATGAACAAATAAACATATAAGGACCACTCTTAACAAGTTGCAACAAAGGGGTAACAAAATATATAAGAGTAAGATGCTTTTACCTGTTCCATTAAATTCCGGACTGCTAAGGCTGGTCTGGGTAAGCCATGAGCAGAAGTTGCACTTTGTACTCCACCAGATATTGGTGTTCTGAAAAGCCCTGCCCTTGTACCTGCTCCCCCTGTTGTATTTCCATATGAGAGCACAGGAGGAGGTTTTGTCACACTTGATGTTGCATCCGCATTTTTTTCACTACTTTGTATGGAATCTGAATTACCCTTTAAAATATGAGAGAGGCCATCACAACAAAGCTAAAGTGGCCATTTGAAATATCCATTGACGAACTATTACATCATGGAGAAGACACGCAATTTACCAAGCTTTGGTTAGCATGCATGAGTACAACAATAACTAGGCCCCCAAATGCACACATACCGCATGTCCGCGTCTACAAAGTTTATGAACTCCCAGCATCAAAATAGTCTTTACTAACATTCGACTTATCAGACATCATAATCATGTTTAACGTATTCATTGAGTAATATGAACATGTGTGGCATTGAAACTCATACTACACTCTAGTGAGTGCAAATTGACTGTAATAATCTAATTAATCTTGTTAATTAAGATAAAGAGAAAATATAAATTCGAAAAGAAACATTTTTTACTAATCGAGAAGAAAATATGGAAAGAACTTTAAAAATAAATAAAAGACTTGATTATAGTATTATTGACTGATGACCATAGGCCATGAACACCTAGCACACATTTATTCCTATTTATAATAAAATAAGTTTAACAACTCTCTATTATTATTATAGTTAGTGTTTATTCAAAAGATAGATAACAACTATCAAATAACAAATTAACAGCTTTGCATTTATCCTTTGGTTTGAATTCAATAATTATATCACTCCAAGATTTTCTAGTCTCTTTATCACTCCTTTGATCCTCATCATTTCCGTTGCAAGTTGTGTGATGTTTTTAACATCCTCAGTGAAGGCACAATTTGGCTCGAAAAATTGAGAGCTACTATGGACATTGGTTTGATGAAGAAGCTAACAACGCTTTTTATCTTCATTCTTGCAAAGATATGTTGCCTATGTATATAAGTATGTCAAGTGCTTTCCAAACTGCATAGATTGTGTCCAAGTCTATAATGAGTCCAATGATTTCTTCAAATTGTTGTGATGATCCAACCATGAATGAGAAGATTAGAATTTCACCGGTGAATGAATTCAATTGTTAATTTTGGTATTTTTTTTTTTTTGATTTGATGTGATGTATTTGGTGGGGACAAAGTCTTTAATGGTGAAATAATCAACATGTTCTTGAATTCATTTGTCAATTTTGGTATGAAAATTTCTGTATCTGTTGTTTTGTTGGGATTCCGTGAGATTAATTTGATAGACGAGAATTAATGAGAGATGAGTGTAAAAAAATTGTCAACATTTACGGATAGTAAATTGATAGTGGAAGAGAAGACTCGTGTTGTGCTGAGTGCTCAGAAATGACTCTAATACCAAGAAAAAAATATGAAAAAAACTTTAAAAATAATTAAAAGACTCGATTACAACATTATTGACTGATGACAATAGACAATGAGTACCTAACACACATTTATTCCTATTTATAATAAAATAAGTTCAACAACTCTCCATTGTTACTGTAGCTAGAGTTTATAAAAAATAATAATAATAACAAATTAACAACTTTACATTTATCCTTTGGTTTGAATTTGACACTCATATCAATCCAAGTTTTTCTGGTCTCATCACTCGTTTGATCCTCATAATTTATGTTGCAAGTTGTGTGACGTTTTTAACAGTGTGCAGTTCTACTCAAAATCCAATATAGCATTTTCATTTCAACAGAATTCTTGCAATCGAAAATGAAAAAATATATTGATTCATAGTATTATTACCTGAGATAAAGACACACTTTCTTCAGTAACTAAACTGAATCCACCATTATCATTCTCTGGTACGATCTCTTCTTTATCATTGCCCTCGTCCGAAATTTCACTCCCAACTGCGAAAACTCGAAACCTAAACCCTAAATTCGCCGTTTTAGGTAAACTCAAGTTCATTTTCAGGGACTTACAAAGCTTGCTGCTTGTTTTGATAGATTGAATTGCAGATGCAGACTCATAGAACTTCGGAATATGCAAACTGGAGCTCGAAATTGCTTCCATCGATGAAGATACAGATAGAGAAGCCATTTGTATATGTATACGTATATCACTATATGTAGCGAAAGTTTAAATTCGACTGCGTAGAAAAGA